TAGGCTCAGGAATGCCCTACGTCTAGTGGATTAAAGCAGTAATTTATGGATTAGGTGACATAGTGTGAATTAAACCCCTGGGTTGGATAGTACAGACTTAGACTCAATAAATAACTGAGCATTACTAAATCAGAACAAGTAGCGATATCTATTCTTCAGATTAAATAAATGGTTTAAATGGAAATTCCCTGAATGTTATCCGGATCGACCGTTACCTGAGAAGACCAGAAAGCACATCAGCTGAAACGTTGTAATAATATGAAAACTAATTTAATTAGTTCGAATGTAAATAATGATATTTCATCCCAGAAATTCGGATAGAAATTGTATGTTGTCACCAAATTTCCCAATCAGTGTCATATTTAGACTTAGCTTTAAGCTATATCAAGATTAAAGGTTCTTTGCTAAAAATTAAAAAAAAGATACGAGGTCTCATGTAAGGAAATAATTCATATTGTAAAGCATGTTTAGCTTATTAAATGTGGCATTGTTCTAAATAGCGTGTAAATTTCGCTGTCGATTGGAATTACATTTATGTTTTTCAAATTACAGTATTTGACAGCATATAAGAAGCACTTTTTTTTTTACTAAAAATATCTTTTAAAATTTTCCTGCGTCTTATATCCATATGTAGGTTTAAAATTCGCGATAATCGGCCGAAATTAGCTACCTTGGCAACTCCTATTAGCTTTGACTTAAACATGAAGGAGCCGTGGAACACGTGGATGGCAATACTTGATCAGGACTTTACACATTTATAGGAAGAATAAAAAGACCCAGCATTGCACAAGTCTGTGATTGGGTGTAGCATATATTATATTAGACCAGAAATTGTGAAATCTTTTAAAAAGTGTGACATTAGCATTGCTCTCAATGGAACGGGAGATGACGCATTATTTAACGACTATGATAGTAGTATTGAAAATGAGTATCTGAGTTTTGATAACGAAGACGACGAATTTATTGAATTTGAAGATGAATAAAATTTTAAAGATAACTGTACTGTTTTGCTCAATGATTGATTTTTATTTTGTTTTCTTACCTTTGGATATAATAAATTTTTTATAGGCTCGTGTTCTTTTTTTCCAATTATTTTTCGTTTAATTGTAATCATGGCTTGTTTAATGAAAATAATACCTCATAAATATAACATAAGCTGTACCATTGACTAATAATTTTACTAATTGTTAATTCTTTTCTTGATTTTCCCTGCTGAAATGGGGGGGGGGCATCTTATACACCCCTGCGACTTATATGCCGTCAAATACGGTATATTTTCATTAATAATTTTGCAATAACCGTCACCACCTTGACGTTCAAAGAGAATGCTTAGACAATTTGATCGTTAATTTTTTATTCAAATTACAGAGACAATGGATAATTTCACTGCATCCAATTCATAACACCGAATGTCATTTGTTCGAAAACAAGCTTCACCGAAAGCGTTAAATCGAATCCTCACTTCATCGAATGGGTTCACTTCACAAAAAAATCAAAACGTAGAAAATTAAAGGGAGATAACTTTTATATATGAATGGTACTTTTGTTTAAAATTACACCCATTAATTTGATTGTTACTTATTTACGATAATGAATTCACAAGTCTGTTGGTTTGTTTAGGATTATTTAATGTTGAAATTATTATTTTGTTTTTTTTGTTTTTTGTTTTTTTGTCGGACAATAAAAACAAAATATGGATAAAAAACGATTAAAATATAAATATTAAAATAAATAAAAAAGCAATATGAATTAATGCTGAAGACTTTTTTTGTCGATATTAATATATTTACCGTATTTACGCATATAGTTTAGATAAGACAAATAAAACGGTTGTTTCTAATAAACAACTTGAAAAACCAAATCCAAAAGTATGTAACGATCAGAAAGTTGTGATACTTAAGTATCAGAAATTCAAACTAATATTCATTAATCTATCTGCCAAAATGCGGTAATGGCGAAATTCATGTAAGATGCGCTTCCAAAGAATCCATGACAAAAAGCCAACGGAAAAAAAGCCAACAGAAAAAAAAAGCCAACGGATAAAGCCCAAAATTGGAAAAAAATTCTAGTCTCACGAATAAAAGTCGCATAAAAAGAAAGAAATTTAACATTGAAAATCCAAGGAACTTTTATTGAGTGATTGATTTTTTAATGGTTTTTCGACCTTTTACAGGTTAAAGCCGAAAAATATTTTCAGACTGTCGGGTCGACCGGAAGCTGCTGTCTCAAAAGTCAGGAGTTAAATGAGCAAAATCCATCATTTGTGCATCGGCTCCGAGTGGTAATTCCGGTGGCGTTTCGAAAATATTCGAAATATGATGTAAATTATTAATCGACCAGATAGCGTTTCCCTCGCATTTTTAGGGACTTTTTTTGAGTTATCACCTGCTTAATGGAATCTATTTCGCGTTGTCAACTCAACGGATTACTGATCAACTGAAACAACATTTCCCGCTTTTCTGATGTAGATTCCACAATGAAGATAAGGTTAGAATTTTTCCCCTTTTCCTAAGGTTTTATTACAAACACACTTCAATGTGTGTCTATCAAGTTTTCCATTTCTTATAGATTTTATTAAACACATCTCAATGTATGTCAGTCAACTTTTCCATTTCTCATAGACTTTAATTAAACGCACCTAAATGGGTGTCTACATCAACTTTTGCACTCTTCGTGGACTTTATTAAATATACCTCAATAAATGTGTATATGTGAACTCATCCTTCTTTTCAAGGGTTTTATTATATTCACCACGTGATGTATAAAACATCCAAATAAAATGTTGTCTGTTGATAAGTAAATCGTTATCATCTTCAGTTTCATTTTAAATTCACTTGTTTAAATGCATTGCTTCACCACATCTGTTTTCTATCTACGTTGGATCAATATTGTTCTATTCCGGATAGCACCCGAAATAATTAGTAATCACTGCTACTACTTTAAATGAGTTATCACCAAACACATATTACCTTTTGCGCTCCATAAATCAATAGGTATCATCCGGCATCCGCAACAAGTCTGCTCCTGCAACAAGATCGTAAGAATCTTTTGAAGATAATTATTTACTGATACAAGTTCTACTAATTAATTTAATACATAGCTGGGGTGGGGAAGAGGTGAATGGATTCATACTTATCCCAAGAGTAAATTTGTGCGTAAGTAAATATAACGAACTCGACTGGAATTGAAACTCTGCTCTCCAATTTCCAACTGTTGTTATCCATTACTCCACCAAACATCCAAGCTTACAGCACCTGACATTTCCCAAGTGGTTACCCATCTAGTTACTGACAAGGAATCCATGACAAAAAGCCAGTTGCTTAACTTCGGTGATCGCACGAAAACCGATGATATGGCCGTAAGACTCAAGGAATTTTTCTTTTAATTCAAATTTTAATATAAAATTTAGACATTGATAATAATAATATCCAATACATTTATGTAAAGATCTATTTCTGTCGCGACCTTGTGTCACATTCGGTAGCAATGTGGTCGCACTGAAAAAATATACAAGTTTATGTGTCCACTCTGTTTGCAACAGAAATTCATAGTAAATCCATCCCACCTTTTAAAAAACGTTTTCTAACAATACTACAGTTATATTTCATTCATCATAGTTAGGGAGTCCTAATATCCCAAGACCTGACTTAATATGATGAAAGAAAGCCTTAAGGGTGTTTTTTTTTTTCTTTTTCTTTTTTTTTTTTTAAGATTGCGCCAAGTTAAACAAAACAGATTGTAAGAATTTTAAGCCCTTTATTAATTCTTTGTAATTTTTTTTTTTTTGTATTTAAGCCCTTAATTCGGTTATTATTTAATAACCAAATTAAGGACTTTCCTTAAATAATGTTTTTATTCGCAAAATAACTTATTGAATATTGGATTGGATTCTGTCAATTTTTTGAATTAATTAAACGTTCCTTGAATTTTCAATTTTAAATGTTTCTTTTTTTTTTTGATAAGTTGTCAAACTTTATTTGAGACTTCGTTGGATTTTGTCCACTTTTGGAATAAGAGGCTGGGATTTTATCCTGTTACGACTACGTGTTACCTCTCCCAAGATATTGGATACAAGTTAAACTTTCGTCTACAAAGGTTGCGTTCCATGCTTTTTTTTAAAGTTAGTAATAATGAAGAAAGTCTTAGAATGCAAATAACCTAATTGTTAGTGAGCAATAGTAAAACTGGTAAAAAAAAAAAAATAAAATAAAATAAAATAATAACGAAACTCTTTAAATCCACGACGGAATATTTATGTTTTTTCTTCCAAAATATCTCTCCTTTTTCAGTTTTAGATAATGTCAAACTAAAGTATTTCTAATTTTCTCTCCCTTGTTTTCCTTCTATTATTTTTCTGTTCCTCCCATTACCGTTTTCTCTACATAACTTTTCTTTTTTTTTAATTTTATTTCTTACTATTTTCTATCAGTTTGTTTTCTTTCTCCTTTTTGTTCTCAAACCCAACTTCCTTCCAACTTCTTCTTTCCAATCTTCTACTCTTCTTCTTCCTCATCACCAAAAGTTTCTTTTTGCTGTTGTTCATCATCTCAACTTCTTCCTCTTCTCAACGCTTACCTTAAATAAACCGACACAAACATAAACAAACCGACTAGACCAGATGATTATCTTTTTCTCTGGCCATAATCTTACGGCGAGTCACGCCAGGTTTCCCCAGAGGTCAGTGTTTATTCGAACCTGCCGGTCACTTTTTGTGTGGCGGGGGCCCAGAAGGAAAGAAAGAAAAACAAACTTCGGAGATACAAGTGATTGATGTTCTCTCCCCTTAGCCATGGCCTTATCTGTCCTTTCATAACTTGACAAAAGCCATCCGTAGCCATTCTATCTCCAACTGTTTCTCACTCGTTTGCGTTTTTCAAGATAGCGGCAGAGAACAAAAAGAAAGAGACTCGCTGATTTTTCAGTACTAAAATATCTACAGTTACCTTTCTTGTTTGTATTTGTTATGTTTTTTTTTGGACGTGTGCATCGCCTCAAGAACAATGATATCAGATTTCAAAGCTAGGCGCGTTCGTTATTTTTATTATTATTTATTTAAACAACAGACCGTTTTATTGAATGAGTTGTTAAGTGCTTCACCCCTCCGACTCTTTGCTATTTCATTCTCTATCTCTCCACACACAACTACTTACACATTTCTTCTTTTCATTTTTTTTAACTTTGTTTTGTCTGTCATTTCCCGTATCTATCGTTACGTTTTTTCTTACTCTTCCTTTTTTTTTTTTTTTTTTTCACGTTTCTCTTCCAGTCATTTTTCTTCTTTCCTTTTCTTTCTTTTTATACCCGCCTTTCCTTTTTTTTCAGCAATTTCCTTCTTTCTTCTTTGTCTGTCTTTTTGTTGTTGTTGTTTTCAGGAATTTTTTTTGTTTTTTCTTCGCTCATTCAACCTTTTTTTATCTAAACTCTCTTGTTTTTCTTTCCGAATTTCTCTTTTCTTATTCTCACCGGCTTTCTTTCCACTCCTTTTACTTTCTTACTTTTTATGTTTTTATCTCTTGTTCTTTTTATAATTTCCTCCCATTTTTCATCCTCTTTCTTTCTTTGGCTTTGCTTCTCTTTTTTTATTATTTATTTTTCATTTATTATTCTTCCTGTTCTTTCTCTCTCTCTCTCTCTCTCTCTCTCTCTCTCTCTCTCTCTCTCTCTCTCTCTCATGTTCTTTAAATATATTCACAAATATATTCACCGCCCGCCCCGTTTACCAAACTTTTGTTGTTTTCGCATGTTTTTACAACCGAGCACGCGTCGACACAAATATTTTATTTCTGCGTGTGCTCGCCGACGAACGTGCGTATGTGTGAGTATTGTAAAAAAAAAAAAAAGTGTCTTCTTGTTGAAACATTAGCTGTCTGCTAATCTCATTAGTTGTGTGTGCGTGCGTGTGTATGCGTGTGCGCATGTGTGTAAAAGGTATGCATCTTCTGAGAGGCATACCGTAGCGTCTGACGCGAAGCCACAAGTCTGGGGAACTTGATGAGGATCGAACTAACACCCCATTAGTAATGAACCACTAAACGAACTTGATAGCAATATTCACGCGGCGACACGTGCGTGTGTGCGCGCGTATGTGTATGCGTGCTGGCAGTTATATGTTTGTGAGTGTACAGTAACGCCAACGGTATAATAATCCTAGGTTAGGGATGGCGAACCTTTTTGTTTTGAGAGTGTACCCACATTGGTCATAATCTTCTGAAAAGATCCCTCATATGGTCATAGAAATTAAGAGCAGATCATCAATTTTGTTCGGATTTTTTAAATTATTTTAGAGAATGAGATTTGATTGAAAAAAGTTCTTCTAGAAGCCTGTTCAAACAACTGACTTGTTTGAATGGGACAGCATTAGGAATCTTATATTTTAAGGGAAATTAATAAATTAATTAAAAAAATTTTTTTTTTTTCAGAAAAAAAGAAGAGCCTGCATATTTATTGAATTTTACAAATGTTTTTTTTTTCTTTGATTAAAAATTAAACAACGAACGTTTTTAGTTGGTCAATCAATCAAGTATCACTCAGTCAAAATTTTGTCAAAGATATTCAAATTAACTATGGTGTTTGCTCTACATCCATTCACAAAAATAGGATTCCAACTTTTTTTGGTGGATTCCGTTTTGGTGTCTACTGTCTTTTGTTGCGTTCCTTAGTCGATTCACAAAATCTTTCTACATTTTTTTTTATGTGTGGACATGAATAACTTTACTTTTTGCATGTGAACGTTATTGATGTTTTGATATGCAACAATAAAATAAAAACCGGAAAATCGAAAAAAAACTGGATAATGTTGACTATTGTGTTCGTAAACAGGACCCCCAGTTGCAGAAAATTTGCCCAGAATTATGAAGTAAAAAAATGAAATTAAAAAAACTAAAACTTTTTTTAATAAAAATAGTTTTTAATTGTTTTTAGCTCCTCTACTAATGTAAACTGTACTAAACTACAACTATGTAATATTTTTCTCGTTATGTATATCTCAAGAATTTTTTTTTCAATTAATAATGAATTTTTGCAAGAATTGTACTTTTTAAAAATTTTAATTAGAATAATTTGCAAACTTTTAGTTTTAAATTTTCATTTTTTAAAATGTATTTTAAACTTAGGTATCGCTTTTTTTGAGGTACCTCCAAAATGATTTTTTTCAAATTCTCCAATGACTTGTCCTTATAACAAATATATTAGCAATAAGAAAAAGGATTTTGAGAAAATTCATAAAAATTAAAAAAAGTGGGGAATAACAGATAAAAAAAAAAAAAAAAAAAAAAAAAAAAGTATTTTATAAAGATTTTTTTAAAAGAAACATTTAAAAAAATAATTTAATTCATTTATCTGACAATTACATTTTTGCAAGAATTTCCAAATCAATATTTTTTACTGCATAAAAAAAATGCCCAAATTTCCCATACAAATTTAAGGTCCCACTTTGATCCTAAGATTTTTTAGCAAAAATTTTCAGGGTTATAAAAAGGATAAAAAATAATTTTACATAAAAAAAAATCCTTTGATGCAAGGGATTAACTGAGAGTGAAAGAGAATGAGAAAACTTTAGGAACTGGAAACCCAAATCCTAAAATAGAAACAACTGGATATAACTGCACCAGAAAATGCATGTAAAATGCATGTTAAAACATGTTGTTTGCATTAGTCAGTTACATGCCATGCATGATATACACGTAGACGATCATGTATCTTTTGATACCTGACTGATAGGGCAGATTATTTCCCACAGTAGGTTGTTATTTCTTTCTGCGGTAGACCAGTTGCCATCCAAGACTATGGAACCTAGTCTGTCCTGCTATTTACCCATAGCTGGAGGGAGAAGATGATTCATACCTTACCCAAGGGTATTAGCACATAAGTGAATGTAATGGATTCAAGTGGAATTCGAACTTGGCTCTCCAATTCCTAAATCTGAGCAGCTATCCATTACTCCACCATAACTCCAACTACTAATTACATACAAATATATTTTGGCTGGGCATTTTCATTTTTCAGTTAAATATTTTACTTATGCTTTGTATGCATATTATGGATATCAAATGCATATTATTATAAACATGCATACACACACACATAGAAAAGGCTGAAAAGGAAAGGAAGTAATACAAAATTGCATAAATGACATTTTCAAAACTTTGCTCAATCAAGCACAAGGTCACAACTGTTGAGCACTCAATAGGAACTAGAAGTAAAAGATTTCTATTAGACTAACTTGCTAACTATTGTTTTTGAGGCAAGCTCCTCTACCAATGTAAACTGTACTAAACTACAACTATGTAATATTTTTCTCTTTATGTACAAATGGGCAATAACAAACTTACAGTTATAAAGTCATATATCATCGTAGTCAATACTCAATTAATCACACAAACCGAATATATAACTTTTTGGGAGACTATAGAGACATATGTAGTAAAGTGTTACTTAAAATACAAAAATCTAAATAGTCCAAAGTTTGTCTACAATTTTACAGTACCCAGGTCTACAATCATTTACACCTGTTAAATGTTTTAACAGTACCTTTGTGGAATTACTCTTTCTTGTCTGCTAGGGGATTTCTAACACTCACTAGGTAGTATAAGGTAACCAAGACATCCTTGCCATTTTTTACATGGTGTGAGAAGTGATATGTGCATTGTGCACACACATCAGTCATAGCTCAAGCAGCGATGAGGAAACCATGGAAGTCGATGTTGTCTGCTTTATGACTTTAAGGTGGGCTTGTTTACAGCTGCATGAAGTTGCCAAATGCATAAAGCCTTTTGGAATAATGCTGTGAATGAATGCAGTTAGAAATTGTTTCCAGAAGATCAGATCTGGAAACCTGTCCCTTTGTGATGACTCCTGCAGTAACTGGCCACATGTCCTGGATGATGAGGCCCTGAAGGTGGCCTTAGAAGAGGACAGCAGCCAAACCTGAGGTGGGCTTGACAAGCACTTCCAGGTTTCTGATGAAAGTTAGACTTCACCTGTACTGCTTAGGGAAGGCATAAAAGTTGAGCAAGTGGGTACCCCACACAGTCAGAAGTCTACAAGCAACAGGTGGCAAACTGTTACTTGTTGCTTTCTTGGCATTGCAACATATCCATATTTGAGTGAGTGACAAAAAATGGGTCCTGTATGATACTCTCAAGCATGCCAGTCACTAGTTGTCACTATGGGACCACAAAACTACCTCTGCATCCACGTAAGATCATGCTCTGTATCTGGTGAAGTAGTTAACAAATGGTGCACTATGAACTGTTATCAATGGGCCAAATCATCACAGCAAAACTTTACTCACAGCAGTTGGAACATGTACAACAAGTACTGAAGCAGAAGGAGCCAGCATTCGTTAATTGAAAGGGGTGTACTGTTCCTCATGTTACACAGGTGGCCATATGGCAACTTGGCTGGGAAACAGTGCCATCCACTTTATTCCCCAGGCCTTGTACAAACATATTACTATCTCTTCCATTCTTTCAACAACCACCTTTGTGGGAAATCCCTCACAAATGTGGCAGATTTGCAGCTGGTACTCGCCGACATTTGTTGCACCCAAGACACCTGATTTTTATCACCAGGGCATTGCACAGCTGGAACCATGTTGGCAAAAGTTTCTGGATGCCAATGCAGATTACTTTGAGGAGTAACAGTATATCAAATTTACAGTGTACCTTTTTTTTCTAATAAATCAAAAATGGCATGGGCTTTGTTGGTTACTTTGGACTACAAAAAGAAAGGAATCAAACTCTCTCTTTTATTTCTCTCCCAAACCTCAAGATATGTCAATTTTTCCCTCCAGATATCTTAGTCCCCAGTAAACTGTGTCTTGAATACAACACAATACTATTACTACATAATCACCTGTTCAGAAACATCTCATGCAACCACACTATCTCCACTAAAACCTATCACATTAAAGCAAAGCTTTGCTTAACTGTGAAGCTCTCTGTAGTTGAGTGGTCAAAGCATGCCAAATCAGACTGGTTTCTTTTGCAAAGGGGGGATACAGGTTCGAATCCTGTCAGAGAGCACATTTTCGATAAGTTTACTCAAGTGAGCAGACGAAATAAATACTGTTTACAAAAAACATGGAGTGTCTCAAAAATGATGTTTAAAGTAATAATAAATATCCCTTCATTACAAGAATACATCCCTCTCTTCAATGAATGAGTCAACACCACTACAAACTGATGACTCCCATAACAAAATGGTATCCTAATGGTGTTACACTTTGTTTATATCTGCAAAATTCTGCAGAATCAACTGAATAGTGAAAGCATTGGGGAATATTCAATAAATCAGCCTGTTTGAAAATAAAAGAAATTTTTGATGAGATGTTTCTTTATTTTTGTACTGCTCAAAATGTTTATGAAATACTAAAATAAAACAAAAAAATTTGATTACTGACAGCAGCTCTTTGATATAAAATGTTGAAATATGGTAATGTTGTATCTGTTGTCTACATGTCCCCTCTATTATATTGACATAATCCTGGCTAGCCAATTGTAAATATTTGCACCCTTGTTATTCTCGAGTCACAGCAAATAACAAAAGAACTTCTACTTATTTAAACCATAACTCCTATTTACTGTGTTGCACACAAACAACTTAGCATCTCTCACTCCAGCTTCCTCCCCTTTGCACCCATAATGAGGCTCTCAAATAAGAAGTGGCATGAGGTGACGTCA